GCTTGTCTTTTCATTCTCTTAATGCTGTTTAGCTTTTTGGGGGGAAAAAAGCTGAAAGAACATCATTGCATTGGATAAAGTAACAGTATGAACTGTTGGTAGTCATGCAGACATTTTGATAAAAGTAATAATAGTAGCCTCCAGGAAAAAATCTGCTTGTATAAAATTGCTTTCCTCCAATCATCAGTGAGCCTAATGAGGGAAAAATTCAAGACCCTACCACCAAGTTATTAGCTTGTAGGCTTTCTGGATTATAACCCAAAGATATACCACAGTCTACAGAAGACAAACTGTTGGGGAGTTTGAGTGTGAGTGAACCATGATAGTGCCACTGTACTCTAGCCTGGGTGGCAGAGTGAGACCTCCATCTCAAAACAAAACAAAGCAAACCATAAATGGATGACCCTGCAGATACAATTACTAAGATGGTGATTGACCTTTTTTGATTTTGGATTTCACACATTGCACACTGGAAACTTTAGTATCACTTTATACAAAAACACCAGACAGGGGTCCCAAATTTGAGCAGGGTTCCTAGAATAAGAAGACTAGAAATCAGTTCATGAAGAACTCAAATCACGCTATAAAAAAGATACCTGCACACATACTGTTTATCACAACATTGTTCACAATAGCAAAATCATGGAACCAACCATGCTGCCCATCAAAAGAGGACTTGATTACAAAAATGTGGTACATATACACAATGGAATATTACGCAGCCATAAAAAAGAACAAAATCATGAATTTCACAGCAACCTGGATGGAATTAGAGTTTATAATACTGAGTGGTCTCTCACAGAAATGAAGATCTGAGTATCACATGTTCTCACTCATAAGTGGACTTTGAACAACTACCGTAATGTTATAAGAAAAGGATTGACAGTGGTGGGAAACTATGGGGGGGGCAGGGAGGGGAAGGGAGGTGGTATTAACAGTAATCAATGTCTGGGGAAAGGGAGGCACACCTCATCAACAAGGGTACCTGCACAATGAATATTTGTACACCTAACCCTTAACTGTACCCCACATTTTTAAAATAATATATATAAAGATTTCTTTATATTATATACATATATATAAAGAAATATATATATATATGAAGAAATCAGTTCAGGTAGCAGTAAACAAAATCTTACCCAATGTCTAATTGATAGGAACTTTTGGTGACAAAACTCCAGCAATACTCAAGGCTTCTGGGATTTTGGAGCTGAAGATTTCCTCCTAATGCTGAATGGCAAATATTAGGCTCTAAGGAAGACAGACTAGCTTAAAAATAAGTCATGACTTTTAATCTGACATCTCACCCTGCAATGAGTCCATTCTAAATTTCTATTAGATAAGATACACTTTAGAAAGTTCCATTGTGAAATGAAACGATACTGTCAATTAAGGGCTAACTCTGGCACCCAAATCTTAGCCACCTTTAGGAACACATGACTGCCCCCCATTAGACCCTGAGACAACCTTATTTACTAATTTACTCAAATTATAGGCTTAATGGAGGCCGCATGTGCAATACTCAACACTGAAAGTACAGCATGGCTCACTTTTGAAATGGCCTACACTCAGTGTGGGCAAATAAAATGGAGTCTTGTAGCTATTAATTCTAACAACTGCAAATTGTTAATAGGGCACAGCATTTAATGTTCTGCATAGTGGGTCGAATTTTATTTTCTTTTGAGCTGGAGTTTCACTCTGTTACCCAGGCTGGAGTGAAGTAGCACAGTCACAGCGACACCAGTGTTGACCTGCTGGGCTCAGGTGATCCTTCCACCTCAACCTTCCAAGTAGACGGAACTACAGGCACGTGCTACCATGCCTGGCTAATTTTTGATTTATTGTAGAGATGAGATCTCGCCAAGTTGCCCAGGCTGGTCTCAAACCAGTGGGCTAAGGCAATCCACTCTCCTCAGTCTCCCAAAGTGCTGGGATTACAGGCTGAGCCACTGAGCCAGGTCTGTGGGCTGAATTTTAGATGGAGCCAGAAAGCTTCATTTTTGCACTGGCTAGAACCTCTAATACAATGCTGAAAGGACGGGGCCTTAATAGCCATTCTTGGTTTGGTAAAACTTTCTATATTATCTATGATGCTTGCTAGATTCTATAATTACACTTTATCAGGTTAAGAAAGTTCACACCTAGTTCTAATATGCTATGATTATTTTTAAAAATTATGAATGGATGTCCAATTGGTCAGATACTCTTTTTTCATTTATTTAGGCGACCAGATTTTTTTCCCCTTTGTTGTAAGAATGTGGTAAATTATATTGATTGATTCAGATCATAAATAAAACTTTTATTCCTGTTATAAACTCAAATTGGTCATGTATATTGCTGGACTTAATTTTCTACTAATTTGTTTTGATTATTTGCATTTATGTTAGTGATATTGGCTTGTAGCTTTTTTTTTCATTCTCTCATTCATGTATTTTCTATTATAGACAAAATGAGTTAGGAAGTGAACTTCTTTATCTTCATTTTCACATATCTTGCATGTGCTCTTTGATCTTCTCAGGCTTGTATTTTTTTCTTTATTAGGGAAGGTCTATCTGTGTTTTTTCTTAGGACATAATCTTTACTTCTAAGGCATGACTTTTCTGGAGTCAAAACTATATGTCAGGGGTGCTCAGTAAGGTACCTCTACTGTGACTCAGTAAGAATCCCAACATTCTTTGCACTGTGTGAACTCTGGTATCTATGTTTGACTCTCAACCGTGCTGCCTCCGAAAGGTCTCACAACATCTATTTGTATATGGCACAAGTCAGTTTATGATTTGTAGAAAATACCCACTCAAATTTTGGGGCTCAGTTTTCTCTTTTACCAGCACCCTGCTCCTCAAATTCTAGCTGCTTCAGCAGTCCTAAACTCACCCTGCAATAAGTCCATTCTAAATTCCTATCAGGTGAGACACCCTTTTGATACTGTCAATTAAGGGCTAACTCTGGCACCCAAACCTTAGCCACCTTTAGGAACACATAACTGCCCCCCATTAGACTCTAACTGCTCACTTTAAAAATTTACCTATCTTTTTCAGACAAAGATATTTGATATTACTGAAGTACCTGAAGTTCTTTGGAGTCTATTTTTGTGTTTTATGCAGAATATTATATTATTATGGTGACCTGCATTTTTGTGTCTTTTAATTTTTTTTAGATTAGAAAATATAGTTTATTTAGAAAGTAAATTAGAGAGGCGGGGAGAGAGAGAGAGAGAGGTGGGGGCCTTAGCTCAAAGAGCACATGGTCACACCAGACTCCAGTAAAGCAATGGCCATCTTTTAATTTTTAATCATGAGCTTACAATTTTTGAGCTTAATTTCACAGAATCTTGACACCCTAAACTGGGGATGCTTTCCTTCTGAGAATATTTGTGTTGTGTTCTGCTGATGCAGAGGATATACAAGCTAGGAACCACTAAGTCCATTTTGAAGTCCTGGCTTCAAGTGCTAATATTAGGTTAAGGTCCTTTACTCTGATGTATTCAAAGCCTCATCTTTCATGAAAGTGATGGTATTAGCAGTTGATTTCAGAGAAAACTCAACTTTTGCATTTTCTTTGTGCTTATTGTCTAGTCACAAAATTTGGGGGTTCTTGGAATTCTCTACAAATTATGGTTGTTGAATCTATTACAGTACATTGGGATAGTAATTTTCCTAATTCTGTTTTTATAATCTTTAGGATAGAGAAGTTAGGAGTGAAATTCCAGTGCCCACTCAATTTAGAGGAGTATTAGGATACAAATGCTCCCCCCGTTAATGAAGAACTCCAAGGAGCATGGTGGCCATGTATGTTTTTGCACTGTTCAACCAGCACAGCGACATGTACACCTTGTGCCATAGATGTACATCTTGTCCCAAAGATTGTATAAGAAGCAAACCCTTTTCCCATCCCACCAAACTGGAGACTGTAATGAGTGTTGCTTTAGCTATTAGTCAAAACCTTCTGTTGTTATGCATTCAGGTTCACAAGCCAAGAAGCCGGAGAAAGATCTATATATTCAATTTATTTTAATAGGATACTGTTTATGCTTCCATACATTTTATAGAGACAAACTCAAATTCCCTTTTTATCTAAAAAAATGGAACAGTGAGTCTCTGGTAGATATAAAACTAAGGATCTGAAAACATTTAACAAGCCACTCCAAAATAGAAAAGCTTCATGGACTCTCTTCATCTTGCAATTCCACAAGGACCCTTCTAATTGTCAGCTCATCTGCCCATGAATCCTGGAGAGGTGATTAAACCTCTTATGTTGCTTACTGGGACTCCATTTTCCCTGACAAGAACCAGAAGGAAATATCTCTGTCTCCCTCTCTCCCATTATTCCTCCTCCTTTTTTTCTCAGAGGTGAAACAAGAGTAGGAAGAAAAACACTCTGTTTTTAAAGAAACATTTTTCTGGTCATGGACTTCAAATGTTCTTGATGCCAAGATTCTCTTACAGTTGAAGCACAAGAACTTTATATTGGATTGTGGAAATAATAACCCAACTCACCCCTGCAAAACTGATGTTGATTTAAATAGAATATTTTGGGGAATAAAATTAGTGTGTGCATATCCATGGGAAAGCTGACTTGCTTCAGGCCTTATGCTCTTCTTATTCATAAACCAACTGCTGAAACATAAAGATCTTGTCCTTTGGAATATCGCATGTGACAGTACCATTATTTCTGGATGTTTCTGTTCAAACATTGAGAATACTCAGGGACTGGTCCTTGTCTTTACCTTGATAGGCACTGTTCTTTCATATCTCTATAAAAGAAAATAGGAATTTCACCAAATGTCTTTAGATTTGTTCATGCTGGATACACAGGCCATTCATCTAAATCTGCAAAGAAGGTGACAGATTTTCTCCTTTAAGGAAATCTTTATTACATAAATATCTTTACAGAAGGATACACAAACACACAGGAATGCCTTGCTGTGCATCCAGGTGTAGTCTATGAAGGACATAAAGGTCACAGGATGCACTTGAATCTCAGGGCAGGTTTTCTTCATAATAACTTGCTGTTTTCTCTGCGTTACCAAAGGTCAGGAAGACTTGTTCCAGTGTGACCTGACTGATGGAATAGTCTTCTAAATCGAATTGTTCTTTAGCTTGCTCCAAAATGCCGAACATCTTTAATAACACAACAACAACAAAATGCAGTTACTAATGCAATCTCCCCTTTGGCCTCCAATCCAGATAAGCCTCTCTTCCACTTCTCCCAATTGCTGTCAAGTATGTATTGGTGGAAAAAAGGCACAGAGGACAAAGGGTATAGTAGAAGAAACAGATAATTCAGAAAGCAGGAAGAAGCAGTTCTCTATCCCCATTCTCCTGATACATATGAACTAACAGTGGTATTTAGGGGCAGAAATAAAGAAGCAATTAACCTCTAGGGTGTTTGAAAAGTAACCTAATGGCACTATTCATCCCACAATGCCAGGCTCCCATTCCACCTGCCTGAATCCCAAACACTTCCCATCCCTAGTGCTCTCTTAACATGTAATGTTAGAAGGACAAAGTTTCTGCCATCACCTTTCCCCAGCTATTGTCCTTGATGGGAATGTAGTAGTTAAGGATTCCTTGATTCTCATGCTTTAAGACATTACCTAAGAAAGGAAAATAGAACTGGTGAATAATTTTACAGATTTCATTAGAAATTGCCAAAATATTGCTACCTCTACTTAATTATAATGGAGGGGTGAATAGATGGGGTAACTACAAAAGGGGATAGGACCTAATAACCCACTCTCTTTGGTGTACATGATAAGATTAATGCTTTCAACAGGTTTATTCCTCTTGGAATAGGGTTATTATTATGTGGAGTTCACAGCGATTGTTAAGGGCACAAAAGCTTGTCAGTTCACTTATTCAATGTAAAAAATCCGAGTCTTCTAAAATTACCACAAGACTAGTACACTGTGCATTGTCTGAGAATATGAATACGAACTGGGAAGGTTTTCCTTCTAGTTGTATATACATGCACAGTGTGTTTGGTGGAGAGGAGGACAAGACAAGGCCTCTTCACTATTCTTTGATTATGTAATCTTCATGCCCTGTGAAAGAGGAAATCACATAAAAATCACCAAAATCAGGTCATGTAATCTTCTTTCTTAAACAGGTAAAAAGTCACTATAGAATGAGAAGGAAGAGGGTGGTAGCCATTTCTAATTTAGAATTAACACATGTATGTATATTTATCAATACACATTTGCAGATTTCTACAAATAGAATTAACTTAGATTTTTTAATGTTTAAAGAAAAAATATGTTTGTAATGGTTTGTGAATTTCCTTAATATTAATCTTGATGTGTGTATTGTCTTCATGACCATGTAAAGCTCTTCTATTGTGAAACATTTTAAACATAAAAGTTAATGAATTTTTGAAGCAAATACTGATGAAAACATCCCATCAAGGTTAAGAAATAGTAACTAAATCCTTCTCATATGCAACTTTCCAACCTCTGTACCCCATAAAAATAACAAATAACTTCATTGCTATTGTGGGCATTTCCTTTTGGGCAGGGAGTTACTTAATTAACAAATAATAATTATATATATTTATTGTATATAACATGCTGTTCTGAAATATGTATACGTTGCAGAAGGGCTAAACTGAGGCTAATGAACACAGATACTAACTCACAAACTTATCCATTTTCTGTGATGAGAACACTTAAAATCTACTCTCTTAGCAATTTTCAAGGATACAATACATTGTCTTTTACCATAGTCATGTTGTACAACAGATTTGCTGAATTTATTCCTCCTGTCTAACTGAAATTTTGTATCTATTGGCCAACATCTTCCCACTCTGCCAGCCCCTACTACGAGTTTAACCTTTATAGATTCCACATATATGTGAGATCATGTGATATTTGTCTTTCTGTACCTGGTTTATTTCTCTTACTGTAATGTCCTCCAGGTTAATCCATGCTTTCACAAATGACATAATTTCCTTCTTTTTAAAGGCTGAATAATATTCCATTGTGCATATATACCACATTTTCTTTTTTAAAATTGATGCATAATAATTGTACATATTTGTGGGGTAAATGTGATATTTTGACATATGCACACAATGTGTAATGACCAAATCAGAGTATATAGGATCTCCATAACCTCAAGCATTTATCTTTTCTTTGTGTTGGAAACATTTCAAATCTTCTCTTTTTGCTATTATAAAATATACAATGAGTTATTAACTATTATCACCGTATTGTGCTATCAAACACCAGAACTTATTCTTTCTAAATGTATATTTGTATCTATTAACCAACCTTTCTTCATGTTCTCCCTCCGTCCCCCAGCATCCTTCCCAGGCTTTGGTAACCATCATTCTACTCTCTAACTCCATGAGATCAACATTTTATATGTCCACACCTAAGTGAGAACATGTAATATTTACCTTTCTGTGCCTGGCTTATTTCACTTAACATAAAGACCTCCAGTCCCATCCATGTGGCTGCAATTGATAGGATGTCATCTTCTTATGATGTCATCTTCTTATGACTGAATAGTATTTCACTGTGTAGATATACCACACTTTCTTTTTTTTGTTTGTTTGGGGTTTTTTTGGTTTTGTTTTTTTTTTTAGTTGGAATCTTACTCTGTCGCCCAGACTGGAGTGCAGTGGCCACTCTCGGCCACCGCAGCCTCGACCTGCTGGGTTCCAGTGATCCTTCTGCCTCAGCCTTCCAAGTAGCTGGAATTACAGGCATGCACTACCATGCCCGGCTGATTTTTTTGATTTATTGTAGAGATGAGGTCTCGCTGCCCAGACGGGTCTCAAACCTGCGGGCTCAGGCAATCCACTCACCTCAGCCTCCCAAAGGCGTGGGATTACAGGCTGAGTCACCGAGTCTGGCTACATTTTCTTTATCCTTTCATCTACTGAAGGACATTGAGTTTGATTCCATATTTTGACTATTGTGAATAGGACTGCAACAAACATGGGGGTGCAGGTATCCTTTTGACATACTGATTTCTATTTCTTTGGATAAATACCCAGTAGTGGAATTACTGGATTGTATGGTAGTTCTATTTTTAGTTTCTTGAGTATGATTCATATTGTTTTCCATAATGGCTGTAGTAATTTACATTCCCACTGACGGTGTACTAGTGTTTCCCTTTCTCTACACCTTCACCAATATTCATTATTGCCTGTCTTTTGGGTAAAGTCCATTTTATCTGGAGTGAGATGATATCTTATTGTAACTTGATGGGCATTTTCCTGATGATTAGTGATATTGAGCATTTTTTCAAATGTTTTTAACTGTTTTTACGTCTTCTTTTGAAAATTATCTATTCATATGATTTGCACACTTTAAAAATGGGAATATGTGTGTTTTTCTTTGCTGTTGAGTTATATATTCCGGATATTTGTCCCTTGTCGAATGAATAGTTTGCAAATATTTTCTCTTATTCTACAGGTTGTCTTTACACTCTGTTGATTATTTTCTTTGTTGTGTAGAAGAGTTTAAATTGATATAATTTCATTTATCTGTTTTTGTTGTCCTTGCTTTTGAGGTCTTACCCAAAAAGTCTTTGCCCAGACCAATGTCCAATTTATCTTATGTTTTCTTCTGGTAGATTCAAAATTTGGGGCATTATATTTAGATCTTTAATCCATTCTGAGTGGTCCTTTGTATATGGTGACACATAGGGATCGGGTTTTAGTCTTTTGCATATGGGTATCTAGTTTTCCCAGAACCATTTATTAATATATGACATTTTATCCATTTATTTATTGGTGGACACTTAGGTTAATTCATACCATGGCTATTTTAAATAATGCTGTGATTAACATAGGAGTGTAGGTATTTCTTGAACATACTGATTTTCTTTTCTTTCTTTTTTTTTTTTTGAAAGTGAAAAAGCAGGATTTATTGAGGACAGAAAAGCTCCCATAGTGGGAGAGGGCCTGAAAGGGTTACCCCAGATTTTATTTTCTTTGAATATATGTCCAAGAGTGGGATTGCTGAATTACATAGCAGTTCTATTCTTAATTTTTTGAAGAACTTTTATACTATTTCCATAATGACAATATTAATTTACATTCCAAATTACAGTGTATAAGAATTCCCATTTGTCCACATCCTCTTCAATACTTGCTATATTTAGTCTTTTTGATTATAGCTATTCTAAGTTGTGTGAGATAATACCTCATCATGGTTTTAATTTTTAATTTCCTGATGATTAGATGATTATTTGCAAACTATTCATTCGACAAGGGACAAATATCCGGAATATATAACTCAACAGCAAAGAAAAACACACATATTCCCATTTTTACAGTGTGCAAATCATATGAATATGCCTGTTGTTTATTTGTACATCTTTTTTTTTTTTTTTAAGAAAAGTCTGTTTAGATTCTTTGCCCATATTTTAATTGGGTTGTTTTCTTGCTATTGAGCTGAATTCCTTTTATATTTTGAATGCTAACCCTATATCAGATGTATTGTTTACAAATATTTTCTTCAATTCTATAGATTTCTCTTCACTATATTGAGTGTTTCCTTGCTGAGCAGAAGTCTTTAGTTTTATATAACCTCTTTGTCAATTTTTGCTTATGCAGCTTATGCTTTTGGATATATATATATATACACATATATATATACATATGCTGAGACCAACATCATAGAGCTTTTCCACTGTTTTTAGTTTCTTTTACAGGTTCAGTCTCACTTTTAAGTCTTTATTCTGAGTTAATTTTTGTTTATTGTGAAATAAGTGTCTATTATATATTCAGAATGCAGATATCCAGTTTTCCTAACAGCATTATTTAAGAGACTGTCTCTTCACCATTATGTGTTCTTGGCAACTTTGTTGATGATGTAAATATGTGGAAATATTTCTGGGTTCTCTATTCTGTTTCACTGATCAATGTGTCTGTTTTTTATGCCAATATCATGCTGTTTTTGATTATTGTCGTTTAGAGGTATATTTTGAAGTAGAATAGTGGAAATGCCTCTGGTTTTGTTATTTGTACTCAAGATTTCTTTGACTATTTGAGGCCTTTTGTGATTCCATACCCATAAAAATGTTAGATTTTTTTTTCTATTTCTGTGAAAAATATCATTGGAATTTTACAAGGATTACATTGAATCTTTAGATCAAATTGGGTAACATGG